AAGGCCAATCTCGTGTGGTTCCGAGGTCCCCAGTGGCTGGGCAGCCGCTGTCTTCTGTTACCCAGCTCCGGGCTCCGAGCCCTTCAGCCAAGCACTGCAATTCTATCCCTAGAATCTCAGAAATTTTGAGCTGCAAGAGGTCCCTGGTATTATCTGCTTCTCATGTAACCCTCTTGTTTTACAGATGAGGTCTTTAGGGCCCAGAAAGGCTAAGTGGCTTGTTCAAGGTCACGGGCATGGAAGGGACAGAGCAGGACAGAGCAGGCACGGAGACCCAGCCCCGTGGCCCTGTCTCTCCCGGCCTCTGGGCCTCCATTGTAAAATGTCGCTCTTGGCAGAGACAGGGAAGCCAGGCCCCGCCACCCTGGTGGGAATGCCAGTCCAGCGTGTCTCAGACCGAGGGCCACCCTGAGAGCTCCTTTGTGATGGGTGCTTGGCAGCACCTTGCGTTTCCTTGTTCATGTAGAGGCTACAAGTGGAATTTTAACTATGAGTCCCTGCATCTAAATTCCACTCCCAGCCCTGGCCGGTGTGGCTCAGTGGATAGAGCGTCGGCCTGCAGACTAAAGGGCCCAGGGTTTGATTCCGGTCAAGGGCACATACTTGGTTGCAGCTAATGCTCCATCTACTGAGCCAAACTGACTTTGGCTGTCTTCACGTTTCTAAAGTATATGTAGTCCTAACAGAAACTTATTTTCTGCCTCGTTAAGATGAGAATTCTACTTCATCGCAGTCCCATACAATGCTAAGCATAGTGCTAGGCACACAGTAGGTCCTCAGGCCCACTCAAGTTCAAGAGCGGTGACCCTGGTGACTGCGGTAGAACTGCCGTTCTCTTCGGGAATTCGGGTTCGAGCCCGGAATCAAGGCTGCCTATTTGGACCAGAGTCATTACAACCCTCTCCTAGGACTTCCTTCACGGAATTGAATTCCCTTTTAAACCCTTGTCATTTTTCAAGGGTTGAGTAAATGAATTCTCTCTTGCGTTTTGCTATTTAAAAAGGTTGTAGGAGGATGCTGCCTATCACTTCACTCAAGGCCCTCTTTTGTCAAGTCCCACGGATTTTTTTAAAATTAAAAAAAAAAATAATTCCGTGCCTTGCCAAAGCCGGTGTGGCTCAGTGGTGGAGCGTCGGTCTGCGGACTGAAGGGTCCCGGGTTCGATTCCGGTCAGGGGCATGTACCTTGGTTGCGGGCACATCCCCAGTGGGGGATGTGCAGGAGGCAGCTGGTCTATGTTTCTCTCTCATCGACGTTTCTGGCTCTCTATCTCTCTCCCTTTCTCTCTCTGTTAAAAATCAATAATATATATATATATTTTAAAAAATAATAATTCCATGCCTGAAAAGCCCTGCTTCCCCTGAGTGTCTGTCATGGTTTGTGGGGTAACTATACAATACACGTTAACTCTCTTTCCATTTTGGAGAACTGTGGGTCTAAATGGGTTTCCCTCTTCCCCCTCGCTGTCAAGAGACCGAAAACGCGTTTTGGGTTCATCACGCAGGCAATGGCGTAGGATGGTGGCACAGGTACTTTCCTTGTTATGAGTTTCTTTTTGTTGTTCTTGCTAATCCTCGCCCAAGGATATGTCTTCCCCTGATTTTTAGAGAGAGTGGAAGGGAGGAGGAGAGACTGAGAGAAACATCGATGTGAGAGAGACACTCAACTGGTTGCCTCCTGCGCTCGGCCTGACGAGGGCCAGGGATGTAAATGAGGCCCATGCCCTTAACCAAATCAAACCCGCGACCCTTCAGTCTACAGGCCAATGTTTCTTAATTTTCCCTTGGGTTTTGCTCGTTGCTATTTTAAAATTCTTTTTTTTTTCTCCCCACCGAAACTGGTGTGGCTCAGTGGATAGAGCGTCGGCCTGTGGACTGAAAGGTACCAGGTTCGATTCCGGTCAGAGGCATGCACCTTGGTTGTGGGCACATCCCTAGTGGGGGGTGTGCAGGAGGCAGCTGGTCAATGTTTCTCTCTCATCGATGTTTCTAACTCTCTATCCCTCTCCCTTCCTCTCTGTAAAAAAATCAATAAAATATATATATATTTTTAAAAATAATAAAATTCTTTTTTTCTAGCAAAACCATTGGACACAGACAGTAGCAGGGTGTGAGGGCTTTTACTTGGGGAAGGGGAATGTGAGGGAGAGGTCAATGGGGGGGGCAAAAGGAGACTCATACTTGAAACACTAAAGATTTTTTTTTAACTTCTTTTTTTTTCTAATAACAAAAATATTTGTAGTCATTAGGAATTTTGGGAAAGAAAAATCACCTACAATCTAATAACCCGGTAACTGTAGCATCCTTAACGACTTGGGTGTATAGCATTTCCTCCTGTGTCATTAGAAATTGCAGACTCCAGGAGTCTGGAAAAACAGTGGCTTACGCAGGCAAGGGTTTATTCCCTCGCCTAAAAGAAATCTTGAGGTAGGCAGTCTAGGTCTGATAGGATGGCTCCATTAAGGCATCAGGAACTCGAAGCTTCTTTCTTATGACTCTGCTGTCCTCTCGATGTGGCTCCGAGAGTGACCACAAGGCCCCTTCACGGCCCCAGGTGACTGCTGGGTTGCAGCCATGTTTCTGCATCCCAGGGGGTGAGGGAAGGAAAAGGGCCGAAGAGTTAACTCCCTGCCTTTTATTTTTTAAAATAATATTTTATTGATTTTTTTACAGAGAGGAAGAGAGAGGGATAGAGAGTTAGAAACATCGATGAGAGAGAAACATCGATCAGCTGCCTCCTGCACAATCCTGTTCACCCCCCACTGGGGAAATGCCCACAACCAAGGTACATGCCCTTGACCGGAATCGAACCTGGGGGATGTCTGACTGCTGGCTTAGGCCCGTCACTGCCGCTGTGCTCACCAGCTGTGGGGTCAGTGTTGAGGACCATGATAGGGCGTGGTGGGGACTATGGCAACCAGTAGAGAGCACGTTCTGTGCAAATGGGTTCCAGCCACCCAGCTGCATTCACTGTTGCTTTTTTTCCCCCCAAGAGAAATCAGAAATCCAGATTTTTATATGAAACCTGGCACTTAGATCTGAGCAGCTAATACATTTAGATTTTCATAATGCCAGCCAATGCCGAAACCGGTTTGGCTCAGTGGTAGAGCGTCGGTCTGCGGACTGAAAGGTCCCAGGTTCGATTCCGGTCAAGGGCATGTACCTTGGCTGCAGGCACATGCCCAGTGGGGCGTGTGCAAGAGGCAGCTGGTCGATGCTTCTCTTTCATCGACGTTTCTAACTCTCTATCCCTCTCTCGTCCTCTCTGTAAAAAAATCAATAAAATATATTTAAAAAAATAAAAATGCCAGCCAAAGGCAACACCATCCCGTAGGATCCGCCCCTTGTTTTTCACTTGGCAGCGAAGCCCAGTGGCTTCTGACAGGGCCGGAGGGGTCTGCTCTTCCGTCCCCAGCCAAACAAACCTGGTCTTCTGTGGCTGCTTCATCTCAAAACACAAAGACACGCTACACATTTGCAGTTGAGCAAGACTGCTCCAAAGGTTCACCGAATCTCCCTTCCACGGGCTTTTGTTTTCTGTTTCAATCATTTTGGGGTGGCGGAACCCGAGAATATTGGGCCGGAACCCCGGCTCCACGGCTTCCCAGCTGTGTGATTCGGGGCGAGCTTTTCATCCGTGTCTTCTCTGTGTTTTCCTGCGCCGTCCATTTTCTCTCTTGCTTGCTTCTCTCTCTCGCTCTACGCTTCTCGCTTTCAAGTGGCACAGTGTGTGCTTAAGACAAGGATCGCCGGAGCCAGATAGGAATCTTGGCTTCTCTGTCTACTAGCTGTATGGCCTTGGGCAAAACTGATTCAAGTTTTCTGTGCCTCACAGGGTGTGGGAAGGATTCAGTGTGTTAATATGTGTAAAATACACAGAACAGAGCTTGGCACACAGTGATATATAAACACTGTTCTCTCTCTCGCTTTTTTTTTTTTTTTTTTTTTTTTTTCCCTCCTCTGCTGCTTTGAAAGGTATGGAGCCCTGGCCAATTTGGCTCAGTGGCTAGAGCGTCGGCCTGCAGACTGAAGGGTCCTGGTTTTGATTCCGGTCAAGGGCACATGCCCAAATTGTGGGCTCGATTCCCAGTAGGGGGCATGCAGGAGGCAGCTGATCAATGCTTCTCTCTCATCATTGATATTTCTATTTCTCTATCCCTCTCCCTTTCTGAAATTATTTTTAAAAAATTTATTTATTTTTTTAATGAAAGGCTCCCTAACCGGTCTGGCTCAGTGGATAGAGCATCAGCCTGCGGACTGAAAGGTCCCGGGTTCGATTCCGGTCAAGGGCATGTACGTTGGTTGCAGGCACATCCCCAGTAGGAGGTGTTCAGGAGGCAGCTGATCAATGTTTCTCTCTCATCGATGTTTCTAACTCTCTATTCCTCTCCCTTCCTCTCTGTAAAAAAAAATCAATAAAAATATATATATTTTTTAAATCAAAGGCATGGATCTCCAGCACAGTGGGCTGGCTCTGGCTCTCCGTCTCACAGGAACACTCTTAGCTCCTGGTTCCTGTCCACAGCCAGCCTTCTGCCCCCAGGCCGGACCCAGACCCGCCGGCTGTGCCCACTCCCTACCCATTCCTTCTAGTCTGCGCCCTTATTCTATTGTTCCCATCGCCGTTTATCCCCGCTACGCCCTCTTCCACCTCCCACCGCTGTCTTGACCTAAAGCCTCATTAGGTTATTGGTTAGACAGAGACAAAACCTTCCCGGCCTTTCTGAAGATGATGTTACGAGATGAAAGGGGGAAAGCAGGGCTAGTTTGCTTTTGCAAACGCTCTGAGCGCAGCAGATAGCTCGTCCTGGAAACAGAAAGAGCCGTCACTCTGCGGGCTGGCACAGGCTTCCCCCAGCAGGCCGGTTCCAACCGCCAAGAGTGTGACACACATGTTAATTACAGACATTGTCTCTCCCCCTAAGGATTTGAACTGCAGAGAAATGTAAATGCGCTTTTATTTCGATTAAATCGCTTCCTTCTTGTCCCCCATCTTTTCAGCTTGTAGGTAAATCTGAAGAAGAGAGCTGACTTGCCCGGCCCAGCTGGACAACATTTCAAGTTCAGATTCCCACCTAGACAGAAGCAAAGTACGGAGGTATGTATTGTCCAGACTCTTGTCCAGCTTACTTCTTTCTTCCTTTCTTTTTTTTTTAAATATATTTTTATTGATTTCAGAGAGGAAGGGAGAGAGAGAGAGAGAGAAACCAGAAGCATCCATGATGAGAGAGAATTATTTATTGGCTGCCTCCTGCAAGTCCCCCATTGGGGATCAAGCCAACAATCCGAGCATGTGCCCTTGACCGGAATCGAACCCAGGACCCTTCAGTCCGGAGGCCGACACTATCCACTGAAGCCAAACTGGCTACGGCTACTTTATCTTTTTAAAAATATATATATTTTATTGATTTTTTTTACAGAGAGGAAGGGAAACACTGATGAGCCGAAGCCGGTGTGGCTCAGTGGTAGAGCGTCGGTCTGCGGACTGAGGGGTCCCAGGTTTGATTCCGGGCAAGAGCATGTACCTTGGTTGCAGGCACATCCCCCGTGGAGGGGTGTGCAAGAGGCAGCTGATGGATGTTTCTCTCTCATCGATTTTTTAGCTCTCTATCTCTTCCTTCCTCTCTGTTAAAAATCAATTTTATATATATATAATTTAAAAAAATCTCTCTCTCTCTCTCTCTCTCTCTCTCTCTATATATATATATATATATATATATATATAGATAGATAGATAGATATTTTTTTTTTTAAAGAAAGAAAGAAACATTGATGAGAGAGAAACATCGATCAGCTGCCTCCTGCACACCCCCCACTGGGGATGTGCCTGCAACCAAGGTACATGCCCCTGACCGGAATTGAACCTGGGACCCTTCAGTCCCCAGGCTGATGCTCTATCCACTGAGCCACACCAGTCAGGGCTATTTTATCTTTTTTATTTGATAAGTCTGCTTCAACAGGGAAAATTGAAGCCACCTGCTGCTTTCTCTCTTCTCTTCCCGACAGGGCGGGGGGCAAGAAAGAGTCCCTGTCTTGAGTCCATAGCCCCAGCGTCGGGTCAGAGAAATCTTGGAGTTTCCTGCTACATCTTGCTTTGAGCTCTTTCCTCGCTGGACTTAAAGATCCATGTTAACAGGCTGAATCGTCTCAGATGTCTGTTTCTCGTTGGCCTGACTGGCCCAGGGCGCAGGGCTGTGATGAGGTGAAGGACCGGGGCCATAGGTTGAACGCTGGCACTGACTCTAACCTTAGCCCTAACCCCTTGGAGACCCCCCTCTCCAGAAAGCTGTGCATCGCACAGGCTGCCCCAGGGTTCCTGGGACCCAGAATCCTTTAGGGACCTACACACTCCAAGTGAATAATCCTGTTTCAGGCCCAGCTGGCATGGCTCAACGGTTGAGCATTGGGTTGGGGCACAGGCCCAGGTTATGGGCTCCATCCCCAGGGTGGGCCATGCAGGAGGCAGCCGACCGATGACTCTCTCTCATTGATGTTTCTCTCTCTCTCTCTCTCCCTTCCTCTCTGAAATAAATAAAAATTAAATATTTTTTAAAAGAATCCTGTTTTAGGAATTCATAAACAGCTAGTTGGTAGAGGGGACATGTCTCCAGATGTTGAGTTTCAGGGAAACTGTCAACTCTCTCAAGTTCAAAGGTGGCCGCACTGAACGTGTATTTAGCGGTCTAGCCCGGATGGATAAATTTTTCTAAATAAATTTATTAATTTTTTACAGAGAGAAGGTGAGAGGAATAGAGAGTTAGAAACATCGATGAGAGAGAATCATCGATCAGCTGCCTCTTGCACACCCCCTAACTGGGGATGTGCCCGCAGCCAAGGCACATGCCCTTGACCGGAATCGAACCCGGGACCTTTCAGTCCGCAGGCCGACGCTCTATTCACTGAGCCACACTGGTTTCGGCTAGATACGTTCTCCAAAGTTGTTTTCTTGCCCTGATGGTGGATAGCGGGCGAAGGAGCCGTGATGTTTGCTTGCTGTCCTCACTGAGTTGGGAGCCCTGCCAGGGACCAGTGTGGGTAGGTCCTGCCTCTTTGCCAAAGTCACCTGGGCCGTGATCTCCTGGTTCCTAGATCAGTGCTCAGCCACTGAGCCATGCCAGCTGCACCCCCTCTGGCTTTGCCCTGGGTCTCGAGAAAGTTCCTCCTGCGATGCCCCAAACCTGTCTTCGGAGATGGTGTTGTCCGGCCTGTTCTGTTCTGTCTGCCCGGGGGGCCGCCTCTCAGAGCTCCAGAGCCGTTTTTAGCAGAGGCTCCTGGAAGCCGTTCCAGGGGAAGCCGTTGCCATGGCTACCTTGGCTGGGAGAGTTCCCTTTTTCTCCTTTTTTTGTTAGCTTGTGGTTTCCCTGATTTTTAAGGTGCCAGCTGACGTTCTGTGTGGTGTTTTTTTGTTTTTGTTTTTGTTTTTGCTAAGCAGCAAGGGAAAGACTGGATTTTTGTTGCTTTTGTTGCTGCTGATATTCGTTTTGCGTGTGTGGAGATGTGTGTGCTTGTATGTGTGTCTTGGAGATGAGCTAAAGCGACCTCAGAAAATGAACTGTCAGGAGAGGCCCTAGCTGGTGTGGCTCAGTGGATAGAGCGTCGGCCTGCGGACTGAAAGGTCCCGGGTTCGATTCCTGTCAAGGGCATGTACCTTGGTTGCGGGCACATCCCCAGTAGGGGGTGTGCAGGAAGCAGCTGATCAATGATTCTCTCTCATCGATGTTTCTAATTCTCTATCCCTCTCTATTCCTCTCTGTAAAAAAAATCAATAAAATATATATATATCTTTTTTTTAATCAATAAAATATATATATTTTTTAAAGTCTGCAGGGATCCGTGGCTTCCGTGCCCAGACCTCAGGGTGCCCCTCTTGGTGCCGCCCGTCCTCCTTGGCACCCTTTTTCCCCCCACTCCCCGAAGGCTCCCCATTCTCGGCATTTTCCAGTTTGCTTCTCCGAGAAGGCTCATGACGTTTAAGCAAAACAGCACCTTCCCCAGCTCATCCGCCCTCAGGACCGTTTGTGTGTCGGGGTGTTGCCAGTCCCCGGGGCGCCGACGGCAGGCCGCCCGGGCGGGCCCCGTGGACACACTGGACGTGACACGCCGTCGCTGGGTGTGTGTCGCCTCGCGTACGTGCCCCCCCCCCCCGCCTCGCCCTCAATGGACCCCTGTGCCCTGCTCCCCAGGCCAGGATGAACGCCATGCTGGAGACGTCCGAGCTGCCGGCCGTGTTTGACGGGGTGAAGCTGGCCGCGGTGGCGGCCGTCCTGTACGTGATCGTCCGCTGTCTGAACCTCAAAAGCCCCACCGGCCCCCCCGACCTCTACTTCCAGGACTCGGGGCTGTCGCGCTTCCTGCTCAAGTCCTGCCCGCTCCTGACCAAAGAGTGAGTACATTTCGCGCCTGCCGTGGGCCCGCCTCCAAAGAGCCTTCCCCCGCGTGTCTTCAGGGCCACGTGTCTAGGAAGACGGTGTCGTGGCTGATAAAATACCCCGTTTCCCCCGAAAATAGGACAATGTCTTATATTAATTTTTTTAAATATATTTTATTGATTTTTGTACAGAGAGGAAGGGAGAGGGATAGAGAGCTAGAAACACCGATGAGAGAGAGTCATCGGTCAGCTGCCTCCTGCACACCCCCCACCAGGGATGTGCCCACAGCCAAGGTAACATGCTCTTGACCGGAATCGAACCCGGGACCCTTCAGTCTGCAGGCCAGTGCTCTATCCACTGAGCCACACCAGCTAGGGCTTACCTCTTTTCTTGTTTTCCTTAAAAAAATGACCCACAGTCATTACATTAATGGTTTCCCTTTGCCTCATAAGCAGTATGTCTTTTAATCCTCTTAACAACTTTGAGGTCAGATTCCTTTTTCTTTTTTTTCTTTTTTTTAATATATATTTTTTTATTTTTGTACAGAGAGGAAGGGAGAGAGATAGAGAGCCAGAAACATCGATGAGAGAGTGTCATCGATCAGCTGCCTCCTGCACACCCCCTGCTGGGGATGTGCCCGCAACCAAGGTCCATGCGCTTGACCGGAATCGAACCCTGGACCTCTCAGTCCCCAAGCCGAGCCTCTATCCACTGAGCCACACCAGTTTCGGCCAGATTCCTTTTTCTTTTCATACTTCAGGATAGGGAAACAGAGGCAGAGAGACGGAAAGAGAACCCAAGTTTGTGACCCTGGATTTGGTTTCCTTCTGATCGGTGGGGGAGGGGGCAGGGGCTGTTCTCGGGGTACAGGTGGGGGAAGCGGTGGGGGGCAGCCAGGGGCCGTCCTTAATGCACCGTTAGCAGGACTGGGAGGCCTTCCAATTTCCAAGTGACCCCCTTTCTGTTTCACTCCCTCTGCTGGGAGCCACTGTCCTTCACGCTCTTTCTCGGCCTTGCGTTTCTGTCACGGCCTCCCATCTATTTGAAGCCGAGGACAGGAAGTCCCTCTGGTAGGGATAAAAGCGTTTCTCCGGTGACTTTGAAGTCTCCTGTCTGCACCCTGCACCAGCCATTGCCTGGGCTGCAAAGTGCAGCTAGCTGCCCTTGATGGTGTGGCTCAGTGGATAGAGCACCAGCCTGGGGACTTGAAGGGTCCCGGGTTCCATTCCAGTCAAGGGCTCATGCCCGGATTGTAGGCTCGATCTCCAATAAGGGGCGTGCAGGAGGCAGCCAGTCAGTGCTTCTCTCTCATCATCGATGTTTCTCTCTCTCTCTCTCCCTCTTCCTTCCTCTCTGAAATCAATAAAAATATATTAAAAAAATAAAAAGAAAAAGAAAGAAAGTACAGCCAAAACCGGTTTGGCTCAGTGAATAGAGTGTCGGTCTGCGGACTGAAGGGTCCCAGGTTCGATTCCGGTCAAGGGCGTGTGCCTCGGTTGCGGGCACATCCCCAGTAGGGGGTGTGCAGGAGGCAGCTGATCGATGATTCTCTCTCACCGATGTTTCTAACTCTCTATCCCTCTCTCTTCCTCTCTGTAAAAAATCAATAAAATATATTTTTTAATTTTTTTTAAAAAAAGAGAGAAGGATAGAGAGTTAGAAACATTGATGAAAGAGAGTCATCGATCAGCTGCCTCCTGCACACCCCCTACTGGGGATGTGCCCGCAACCAAGGTACATGCCCTTGCCCGGAATCGAACCCAGGACCTTTTAGTCCCCAGGCCGACGCTCTATCCACTGAGCCAGACCGGTTTTGGCCCAGTCCGTTTTTAAACCTGCCTTAGGGTAACCTGTCCTTAGGAATGAACCTTTTTCATCCCTGGAGGAAACCCTGCTGAGGTGGGGCCGCGTGTTTCTTGTTCACTTAGCAACAGATCAATATTTGCCTAGTGATTCATTTCTCCTCCTCACGACACGTTTGCTCTCAGCGAAAACCTCAGGCTGAAAGCTCAGGTCAGAATTAGGAGAAGATGCCGATGACGATACAAATCTCCATTTTTTTTTTTTTTCTGAGTAAAACATTGAATGCACATTCATTGTTTTGAGCTGTCACTGACATGTAGTAAAAGGCACAGACCTGCTGAAACCGGTTTGGCTCAGTGGGTAGAGCATCGGCCTGCGGACTGAAAGGTCCCGGGTTCGATTCCCGTCAAGGGCATGGACTTCGGTTGCGGGCCCATCCCCAGTAGGGGGTGTGCAGGAGGCAGCTGATCGATGATTCTCTCTCATTGATGTTTCTAACTCTCTATCCCTCTCTCTTTCTCTCTGTAAAAAAATCAATAAAATATATATATTTTTAAAAAATATCTTTATACACCCCCTTCTGGTCAGGTGGCCACCCCTAGGCCCCTCCCCCCCTATGTAGAATTTTGGGAACAGTGCAGTGTATTTATAGTGAGCTAAAGTTGAAAAGGATTTCATTATCTCGGCTGAAATTCCCCCTAATTCCCTTTTGCTCACGGAGACATTCCAGATCAGATTTAGAGCTTTTTCCCCCTTGGCTGAACACTACAGCTTTGTCCTTTTTATAGGATAAACTCGTAATTGCCAAGCATCTTAATACCATCGACGTGACTCGGCCTGTTTTAAGAACTGCGCAAATATTCCCGTAGATGCGTGCGGTAAGCCATTAACCGCCGGTTAGCGGATCCATGGGACTTGATGCTCCTGTTATAGGCACCAATCCTTCAGGGCACATTTACCCGGAAACTCATTGTAAGAGCATTCTCGAAACATGAAAGACTCAAACATCATCTTCACCGAGAGCAAGGATTGATGGTTAGCATCGGTGAGGTCGCATTCTCATCTTGAAATTGCCTGTTTCTTTTTCTTTTCTTTTTAAATATATTTTATTGATTTTTCACAGAGAGAAAGAGATAGAGAGTTAGAAACATCGATGAGAGAGAATCATTGATCAGCTGCCTCTTGCAAACCCCCTACTGGGAATGTGCCGGAAACCAAGGAACATGCCCTTGCCCGGAATCGAACCCGGGACCTTTCAGTCCGCAGGCCGACGCTCTATCCACTGAGCCAAACCGGTCCCAGCTTGAAATTGCTTGTGTTTCTGATGAAATAGCCCAAATCCAAACTGTCAAGGGGCAGAGGTTGAGTTGCTAAACTGTTATTGATACCATTGATTTTTCCCATGACTGTTTGAGATGCCATCCCTGTTACCGCCCAAATGACCGTCTGCCTAGCTCAGTGGTCGGCAAACTCATGAGTCCACGGAGCCAAATATCAACAGCACAACGATTGACATTTCTTTGGAGAGCCACATTTTTTAACTTCAACTTCTCTTGACGACACTTCTTCAACATAGACTCGCCCAGGCCGTGGCATTTTGTGGGAGAGCCACACTCAAGGTGCTGAGGAGCCACCTGTGGCTCGCGAGCCGCAGTTTGCCCACCACGGGCCTAGCCTGTCTCCCCTCTCCCCAGGCCTGTGTGTTCCCGGGAGCTCTCCATCTGCCTCGGGCAGCCGCCTGCCAAGCCGTGTCACCCCGTGCCCTGTCACCGTGAGCCACGGAAATGAGTCAGCCCTGGTGGCAGCTTATGACACCGCCCACCCCCCCGGCCCCTCCCTGTGCCAGCATCTAATCATAAAGTCTGGGCTGTAGGTCAGCGTGGGCACATGGCGTCAAGCCAGACAGACAGCTTAGCTTCCGAGGTGGCTATTAAGAGCGTCTATGATGCAGAGCAGGTCATGGTTCATCCAGAACCCTCTGTGGCCTCCTGGGTAGGGAGAGGCCATGCAAAGCAGCAGCTGATATATTTTTCCATTTTTAATATTATTGATTTTTTACAGAGAGGAAAGAGAGAGAGAGTTAGAAACATCGATGAGAGAGAATCATTGACCAGCTGCCTCCTGTACACTCCCCTACTGGGGATGTGCCCGCAACCAAGGTCCATGCCCTTGACCGGAATCGAACCCGGGACCTTTCAGTCCACAGGCCGATGCTCTATCCACCGAGCCACACCGGTTTCGGCTATTTTTCCATTTTTTCGCTGGCTGCTGATGCCATTGCCACAGCCGGCCCGCCTCTCTGGTGACATGTACCAACGTCTGCTGCCGGCGAGACCACGGCCTGGTGTTTTCAGCCTGGTCATCAAGGCTCGACCAGTAATTCCTCGTTAACAGGAAGTCAGAAACTGCATATATGTTCTGCACGGTGAGATCTGCCGCATCCTAGCAGTGCGGACTTCTCCTTGTTTGTTAATGTGTACCTTCTCCATTATTCACCGTCTCCCGCTGTGCGTTTGGGGGCTGGTGCGTAGGTTTGATTTGACTCCTGGATCTGCACTTGGTATTTCGTTAAAGTATTCTCAGTGAACCGAAACCAGTTTGGCTCAGTGGTAGAGCGTCGGTCTGCAGACTGAAAGGTCCCAGGTTCGATTCCGGTCAAGGTCATGTACCTTGGTTGCGGGCACATCCCCAGTAGGGAGTGTGCAGGAGGCAGCTGATCAATGATTCTCTCTCATCGATGTTTCTAACTCTCTATCCTTCTCTCTTCCTCTCTGTAAAAAATCAATAAAATTTTTAAAAAAGAATTAAAAAAAGAATAAAATAAAATAAAATGCACAAGAAGCACTCTTTAAAAAAAAAAGTATTCTCAGTAAAAAATAAATATGTATGCTTGTAAGTCAGCCCCTTCATATTCAGTAACCTGTTCTTCTGGGTTGTCAACTCTCTATATGCCACACTCAGTCACACACACACACTCACACACACACACACACTCACACACTTATACACACACTCACACACACACACACTCACACACACACTCACACACACACACACTCACACACACACTCAAACACACACACACTCACACACACACTCACACACACTCACACACACACTCAAACACACACACACTCACACACTCACGCACACACTCAAACACACACACACTCACACACACACACACACTCACACACACACACTCTTTTCA